AAAAAAACATTACAAACAATCATACTACTCGTTTGATTTCAATAGTGTATTTATTAACACTAGAAGATCACAGAGACTGGATATTCAGGGAACATTTGTACGCTGCCATTCCGCAACCACCTCACCTCTTCAACAATTCATTTTTCCAAATTATTTCTGTGCACTTTTGCACAGCAAAAGCGATCTGTAACAATGTTTGCATATTTCACAAAAACTCATGCATTCCTGTACCATTTCAATGGATTTTTTAAGGGCTTCGGTCATTTACTCCAAATATACTGACTGATATTGACTGAGTATCATATCTCACTCTTGTTAAAATCCTACCGGGTAAAAGTGGATAAGTACAACCTGATTTCACTGCGTGATACTTCATTCGGTAGTTCAGCAAACGTTATGGACCGCATTTTTACGGAACGTAATAAAAATAGTCAGACTAATATCAGTCCTCGTCTTCGCGCAGAGGTCGTAAAGCCTGCTTTTTCTTCACCAATCTTCGACGCGCGGCCTTCTATTAGTTTGGAGGGCAGTTGGATTCGCCGCCCCTTGGGTGGGTGGCTTTCTGCAGATCCTGCGCTTCAGCTGTTTATTAAACTGTTTTTAAGATTTTTATGTAGTAAATTTTTCTAATTCTTAATTATTTTGTTGCAGAACTGTCTGTTATCAATGGACATTTTTTATAATCAGGCATGTCAGCCACGTCTCGTTGCTGGCTAGCCAGCTTAAGTATGCTTCTATTGTTGCCTTGCCTAAGAAATTATTTGGCTTTACTTTTAATTGACATGCTTATGACTCAGCACATACCTACAGATCACACAACGTCGATGGAGATCAGGCCTTACCATCAACATTTAAAGTTGTGTCCTATATCATGAGGAAAACAACCAATTTTTATATATTTTACGCATATCTTTAAACGAAAATGTTTGACAAAGCAATAAAACGCACCAACTAATTTTAGTATTTGTTTATACTGCCTGCTACTTGGGTGTCTATACATGAGAATTTTTATAACAGCAAATGTCGGGCCAAATTTTGGTATTACACGTACTACTGCAAGTTTCTTTTCCTATACTAGTTCGGATACACCCTAAAGCTGTTCACTTTTAAGTTGAAATCCATGCTTTACAACTCGTTGATATTCGCCATTGCCTTTTTATCATTGTTCAACTGATTAATTCTTAGGCATTTCGTCCAGGAGATCAGATACATTAACGGTTGACATCTGTCGAAGCTTGCAGCGTGTGGGATCAGGCATGCTTCTTCCACACATGGACACCTGGACACCAGTGTAAACAATGACTTCAAGCATAAAACTCCGCCCATCGCCTCCTCAGGCCGATCTTCTAGTGAACAATTCGTCCTTCAAAGTTGTGGAACCACCTCAACGATGCGCGCAGCGAGGGTGTTGCGGCAACCAGCCGCGCGGCGGTACTCCATGCGTCCTAGAACGTCTTTTCTCCAAAGTCTTTGTAGTGCCTCTGTATCGTGAAAACCTCTACCTGTTCTTCGTCCTCTTTTCGGCGGCTGCCTGCTTTCTCTCCACCCTCCGTACCCTCTCTTTGCTATCCTTCACAAGTGGAACTTTGGTGGCCGGCACCAGCTTGATGCAACCGCTTCTGATGCTGGCAACTTTTGCGACCTGCGTAGTGGGTATAGTATGCACTAAATCGCACGTCACCCTTTCACGTCGCATCTGCTCTCTGCACATGTCCTGGTACTCCTCTCGTCTTAATAGACGTCTCCAGCGCGCCGTTTGGTGTGTGCCAGTCGTCCTCGCCTTTTATACCATAGCTTGCCTTCCGATTCCAACAGATCGCAATTTCTCCCTTTCTTCACTCCTGACTCTCTCCGCTTTCTGTCATTTGAGACCACCGCCAGCCTTTGAGACTCCCGCCTTTAACGCTTCCGTGCGATCGAATGCCACTGCAGGTTAGTTTGGATTCTAACTCTACCTGCATTTGTTACATCGTTTAATTTAAACCCTAGTACTCAGTTAGTTTGCTTTATCTCGGCATTCAAAACGATTCCCCCCCAGATACCACGAAATTTCTCGTGACACCTTCTGTTGACGTCTTCCATGGACTGTGGCCCTTGCTATTCGCCACACTGAATATACAGTCTCTTCTAGTTGGACTGCTTCCTCTAACAACCAGGTTCCTCCTATGCGCTGCTCTAGCCGGTCTTCACTCTGCCTTGGTACTGGTCAGCCATTATGCAGCAACACTGCCATCACCGACGCTGCTCTTTCCTTCTGACGACAACATTGTCTTTGAATGTTCACTGGCGCATATTGCACTAATGGAGAGCCCTGCCGTGATCTGGTGGAACAGTTCTGAGGTGTATTTTTGGCGAGGGGTAAGCTGCCAGCTAGCTATCTTGCGCTTTGAACTGTGGAAGCATTTTTGTGCATTTTGCAAGCAACGTGAAGGACAGTGTTTTTATGATATTAGATTGCAGCATAATCTGACTATGTAGTCTGCACACCTGCTTCTGTTGCTATTAAATATTTAAGTAACCATAGGAACATTGCAAAATCCACAGGAAAGCAACCTCAATGGTGTAGTTCTTCCCAAAAGTTTATTACTAAGGCCTGATTTTGAGCCATATGGTTTTGTAGTACTAAAGATTAACCGAATGTAGACTGTTCCAGGAGTGTGGGCAATCTAGGCTGAAATTGTAGCTCCAGTATAACGGATTGTAAAAAATCAGTGATGACTACGTTGCAAAGTTCGACGCGCCACCTTAGGATCCCGCACAGTAAACCAGCCTACTATGCTTAAACCGAACACCTAAGACATCCTGGACTGCCATAGTTCACTGTCTCCTGCGTTGACTATACCTTTCCCTGCAGCACATCCCTCCACTTTAGTTTTTGCCTAACTCGTCTACCATCCTCCCACCTTGTCTCATCACTTTGCAAGTGCAGCTAAAATCGCACCCAAGAACACATCCCATTCGACCTCTAACAATAATGTTTTTGATTGAACGTACTTCATGCAGTGACAACGCTGTGCACCGTCTAATACATTTTTCTTGTAATATTTTATAATTTACTCGGGGCTCCGTTGCAGTCATTAACTTTTCTATCAATACCTCGTGCCAATATGCATTCATACCTGCTGCCAAGTCTTTACGCACGTGAAATGTATTAATTAAGAAATATTTTTGAGCAAGGTCTATACATGCTCTAGTGCTTACTGTGCTTACTTCTCGCATAAAAGATAGGTAGTTAATTGCGAATTTTGTTTCCTTTTGAGCTAGAATGTCCAAAAATCTCGCCTATGATTACCTGCCCCTCCAATCGTTTTTCGTCATTCAATTGATCTTCATACTCCCC